GAGGGAGGGAGGGAGGGAGGGAGGGAGGAAGGAAGGAAGGAAGGAAGGAAGGAAGGAAGAAAGAAAGAAAAAAAGAAAGAAAGAAAGAAAGAAAGAAAGAAGCAACATCTGCAAAGTGTAATAAAATGAGTTATGCTTATAATAATTAATGCAAAAAATAAAAAATAATTTTAAAACAAAATTGGAGGTGAAAATCAGGGACAAAAGAAGAAGAAAGGACTATTAAAGTTTTTCTTTTGAGATAATTGTAGACTCACATGTAGATTTAAGTCTGCAGGCAATAAATGCTCTTAGTTCTCTTCAATGTGAAATGTCTTGATTGCCCTTCATTCCTGAAGAATATTTCTCAAGATACAGGACCCTGAGCTCACACTTATTTTCTTTCAGCACCTGAAAAATGTTCTGCCACTGAATATTCTGCTTCTGGCCTCCATCATTTCTGATGATAAATCCACTGCCACTCATGTTGTTTTTCTCAGAAATTTGACTACTATGTGACTTGGTCCAGTTTGTGTGTGTGTCTTAAGATTTTTCTGCTTGGGGTTTGCTTAGCTTCCTGAATATATTTAAGTATTTTTCCAAATTAGGGAAACATTTAGCCATTATTTCTTTCTTTACATTTTCAGTCATCTCCCTTTCTTTTTTTTTTTATATGTACTTATTTATTTTTCTAGAAAAACTAAGTATTCCATAGACCAAAATATATTAGGCTGTAAAAAGGAAATTTTCCATGATAACTTTTTTAAAATTTTATTTTATTGTTTAAAGTATTACAGATAGTAGTACATATGTCTCCTTTTTTTATTTTTCCCCATTGACCTTCCCCCGGCCTCCCCTACCCCGGCACATGCTCTCACCCCACCCCACCCCCAGTGTCTTGTGTCCATTGGTTATGCTTATATGCATGAATACAAGTCCTTCGGGTGATCTCTTACCTCCCCACCCCAACAATCAATCCCCAGCCTTCTCACTGTAATTTGACAGTCTGTTCAATGCTTCTCTGCCTCTGTATCTATCTTTTCGTTCATCAGGTTATAATGTTCTTTATTATCCATACGTGAGTGAGACCATGTGGTGTTGTGTTTTTCTTTCACTTTCTGGCTTATTTCACTTAGCATAATGCTCTCCAGTTCCATCCATACTGCTGCAAATGGTAAGAATTCCTTCCTTTTTATAGCAGCTTAGTATTCCGTTGTGTAGATGTCCCATAGTTTTCTACTCCACTACTCTGTTGATGGGCATTAGGGTGTTTCCAAATCTTGGCTATTGTAAATTGTGCTGCTAGGGGTGAACATAGGGGTGCTAACCCTTTCCCCCCAAGAATTGTCAGTCCACTCCCTTTCTATGCCCCAGATTCTATTATATTCACCAGTTTATTCTGTTCATCAGATTATTTATTCACTTGATTTTTAGATTCACTTGTTGATAGATGTGTATTTGTTGTTCATAATTTGTATCTTTACCTTTTTCTTCTTCCTCTTCTTAAAGGATACCTTTCAGCATTTCATATAATACTGGTTTGGTGGTGATGAACTCCTTTAGCTTTTCCTTATCTGTGAAGCTCTTTATCTGACCTTCAATTCAGAATGATAGCTTTGCTGGGTAAAGTAATCTTGGTTGTAGGTTCTTGCTATTCATCACTTTGAATATTTATTGCCACTCCCTTCTGGCCTGCATAGTTTCTGTTGAGAAATCAGCTGACAATCGTATGGGTACTCCCTTGTAGGTAACCAACTGTTTTTCTCTTGCTGCTTTTAAGATTCTCTCTTTGTCTTTTTCTCTTGGCATTTCAATTATGATGTGTCTTGGTGTGGTCCTCTTTGGATTCCTTTGTTTGGGGTTCTCTGCACTTCCTGGACTAGTAAGTCAATTTCTTTCACCAGATAGGGGAAGTTTTCTGTCATTATTTCTTGAAATAGGCTTTCAATATCTTGTTCTCTCTCTTCTTCTGGCACCCCCATAATTCGGATGTTGATATTCTTGAAGTTGTCCCAGAGGCTCCTTACACTATCTTCATATTTTTGGATTCTTTTTTCTTTTTTTTTCCGGTTGGGTGATTTTTGCTTCTTCGTATTTCAAATCTTTGACTTGATTCTTGGGATCCTCTAGTGTGCTGTTGGATCTCTGTATAATATTCTTTATTTCAGTCAGTGTATGCTTAATTTCTAGTTGGTCCTTTTTCATATCCTCGAGGGTCTCACTAGATTTTTTGAGGGTCTCACTAAATTTATCAGCAGTTTCTAGAAAATTCTTGAAAAACCTTATAAGTTTGGTTTTGAACTCTATATCCAGTAGTTTTCTTTCATCCATTTCTGTCATTTGTGACCTGTTTCTTTGTTTCCGCATTTTTTATGCTTCCCTGTGTTGATAGAGTGGCTTTCTGTGCTAGGTGTCCTATAGGGCCCAGTGGCTCAGCCTCCCATATTACCTGAGGTGGACACTCTTGGTGCACCTCTTTGTGGGCTTGGTGCACAGTCTTGTTTTAGTTAAGCCTTGATTGTTGTAGGTATCACTGGGAGGAATTGACCTCCAGGCCAATTGTCTGTGAGAATCAGCTGTGTCTACGGTGGAAGAACGTCTGTGCTGGCGACACCCTTGTGGGGCAAGACTTGCTTCAGTTGGGGCTTTGGTGCTCACTGAGTCTTCCCCCTGAGTGTGTCCCTTATGGATCTGAGGAGTTGTAATCTGGATGGTCCCACTCTGACCACCGGGTACACTGGCTCTTGGATCTCTAAGGAGGTATTAATTTAGCATCTTCCTGAGGCTACCCAGCAGGAGCTATGGAGAGATCTGCAGATTCCTCTTCTTTGTTTAAGTTTTTATGTGCCCAGATGAGGTCCAGCTGTGAAGCAATGCAGGCTTCTGTGGGGCCTTGGGACTTCTTTTGGATGTTCTAGGTCTCTCTGGCCCAGCTGCAGTTTGTTAGGTAATTCTAGATTGCAAAGGGCCAGGCCATTCATATACAAAAGCATCTGCGCACAGCTTGGGTGGGGCGGGGTCTCAGGGAATCAACAGGGCAGAGAAAACAGCTATGGCTGATTCTCAGCCCTGCCCTAAGAGGTCCTGGAACTCAGCATCCCGCGGTAATCGCTGCAAGCACCTCTGAGAAAGCCGCCCTCGAGTTCTGCCCAATGCCAGACAGTCCAGTTTCTCTCTGTATGAGTCTGAGTCCCTAGAGACTCACCCGGAACTGGAGTTCAGAGCAGTCAGGAGCTTGAGACTCCCTCCCCGTTGAAAAAGACAACCGCATCCTCAGTTGCCAGTCCTTTCCACGTTCGCTTCTGTACCTCTGCAGTTTACTTCTGCACCTCCTCTGAGTCTCAGTGTGCTTTTCTCTGTCCTTCTAGTTGTAGAATTTCCACTCAGCCAGCCTTCCTGTGGTTCTGGATGATGTTTGTTTTGTCTTTCAGTTGTATTTTTGAAGTGATTGTGCGAGGCAGCAATTTCCAGTGTTTACCTATGCTGCCATCTTGGTTTCTCGATCATTGATTCTTTCATGTCTCCTCCATCCTACTTTTAAACCCACCCATTGAGTTTTTTAATTATTATATTTAATTAAAATTTTTGTTTATTTTCTATAGTTTTGGTTTCTTTATTAAGACTTTCTCTTTCCTTTTTGCTTATCTGATGATAAGAAGCTTGCTGCCTATGTTTTCTCTAGGAGTTTTATTATTTCAGTCTGTCATCTATTTTGAGTTCATTTTTATGTGTGGTATAAGATAGTGAACCAGTTTCATTCTTTTGCATGTGATTGTACAGTTCTCAAAACACTATTTACTGAAGGGACTGTTCTTTCCCCATTGCATAATCTTGTCTCATTTGTCCCAAGTCAATTGACGATATATGTGTGGGTTTATTTCCAGGCTCTCTAATCTGTTCAATAATCTATGTGTGTTTTCATGCCAATCTCATACTGTTTTGATTATTATAGCTTTGTAATATAGTTTAAAATCAGAGAGTATAATTCCTGTGCTGTTTTTCTTCTTTCTCAAGATTGCTTTGGCTATTTCTGGTCTTTTAGGTTTGTAACATGCTACAGTTGTAAAAAAGATGAAAACCTTACATTTTGCAACTGCATGAATGCTCCTAGAGATTATTATGCTAAATGAAATAAGCCAGCCAGAGAAAGACAAATACTATATGATCTCATTTATATGTAGACTAATGAACAAAATGAACTGATGAACAACATAGGACTAGAGGCATTGGTACATGGAATAAACTGTCTCATCTCAGAGGGGAGAGGAGTGGGATGGACTGGATGAGATTAGCCAACAAACATCTAAGCATATATGCATAGCCTGTGAACACAGACAACAACAATGAGGTGAAGGCTGGGGACTGGGGGGAGGGGTCCAAGGCTGCATGGAGGGGGACAAATGGGGGACATCTATAACAGTGTCAACAATAAAAAATCAGACATGAGAATCCAACCATCTTCTATTAAGCCAAACAAAGAGATTTCTAAAACAAATAACAACCCTAGTTTTCTCATCAAATTTTTTGTTTAAAAATATAATTATTTTTCATAAAAATACATTATTTATGTTGACATATATGACTTTATTACTGTTATTTTTTAAAACTGTAAAAAAAAATATTTTATTGATTATTTACAGAGAGGAAGGGAGAGGGATAGAGAGTTAGAAACATCGATGAGAGAGAAACATCGATCAGCTGTCTCTTGCACACCCCCTATTGGGGATGTGCCTGCAACCAAGGTACATGCCCTTGACCAGAATCGAACCTGGGACTCTTCAGTACACAGGCCGATACTCTATCCACTGAGCCAAACCAGTTAGGGCTAGTGTTATTTTTAATAAACAAAAAATAAGCATTTAGTATTTTCTCAGTTTTAATTTCCAACATTGTATCAATAGATATAATCCACATAAATAATTGTTGAGTTCTCCAATATTTTTAAGAGTACAAAAAAACCCTGAAATTTAAATTTGAGAACCTCGGAGGTAGAGAAAACTAATATTAAAGGAAGTTCTTACTTCCTCTCCAGAGAGTTGTAGGTGTGGTTTCTGAGCATGCTGTCTTGTTTCTTGTGCCAATTCAGGTGGTATCACTGACGTTGTTGGAAGGACGGGAACATACACTTGATTGTCACTCATAAGAGGGATTCCTTCCATTATTCTACAGTGTGATAAAAACAATAAATTTCTTGTTTACCTTATTGACAAACCAGAGGCATTTGCTCTCATTTCATATCTATATGGAGATAAATACATTAACATTTTGATTACTGTATTAAATAGAGATTGTTCAGAAGTCAGATAATCCAAAATGGGAAATAATTAAAAAACAATTTATCTTTGCTTCTAAACACATTTAAGTCATAACCTTTATGATGGTTTTGTTTTATTACATTGGAATAATAAGTTCGCCCTATGTAAACCTGATTACATAAGAGATTAAAAGTTGTTCTCTCTGATCGCTAACCTGCTCCCCACTCCAAACTCACAGAAAGTGCTTTCATTTCTTAGGCCAAGGTAAAGCATCAGCCTTAGCAGAACTCCCTTCTGACATTAAAATGTCCTATTTCTGATTCATATTAAGCACAAACAGAAAACTGTTATAGCATCAGGTCTTTCCTTCTACCCTGAAAACTGCATAAACATGAGGATATATATGAGGTACAAACTTATCAACAAAAGCCTTAATTTAAGCCAAAGAGATGAGCTAAATAAAAATTGAAGGTCTAATATGTCACTAATGACTGACTTCCAGACCACCTGAAAATACATTAAAAAAAAATTTTTGTGTGTGTGTTGCAGCACTTACTGTAAAAGAAATATAAAATAAGTGTAAAGTGAACTTATACAAACTATAAATAAATCAATTTCACCTGAAGTATTTAGAGCCAATGTTGCCTCTAACTTTTTTATATATTACTAGAGGCCCGGTGCACAAAAATTTGTGCACTCGGGGGGGAGGGGGCGTCCCTCAGCCCGGCCTGTGCCCTCTCGCAGTTTGGGACCCCTCGGGAGATAACGACCTGCTGGCTTAGGCCTGTTCCCGGAGGCAGAGGGCAGGCCCAATCCCTAGGTGCAGCCCCTGGTCGGGCTCAGAGCAGGGCTGACTGGGGAGTTGGGGCGCCGCCCCCTGTCATGCACAGAGCAGGGCAGATTGGGAGGTTGCGATGCCACCCTCAGTCATGCTCAGGGTAGGGCCAATTGGGTGGTTGGGGCACCGCCCCCTGTCACACTCAAGGCAGGGTCGATGGGGAGGTTGCGGCACCACCCCCTGTCACGCACAGAGCAGGGCCAATCAGGGGGTTGGGGTGCTGCCCCCTGTCATGCACAGAGCAGGGCCCATCAGGGGGTTGAGGAGCTCCCCCCTGTCACTCACAGAGTAGGGCCGATAGGGGAGTTGGGGCACTGCCCCCTATCACACACAGAGCAGGGCGGATCAGGGGGTTGGGGTGCTGCACCCTGTCACACTCAGGGCAGGGCCGATGGGGAGGTTATGGCTCTACCCCGTCACACACAGAGCAGGGCCCGTGGGGGGGTGGGGGTTGGGGCGCCGCACCCTGTCACACACAGAGCAGGGACGATCAGGGGGTTGAGGAGCTCCCTCCTGTCACTCACAGAGTAGAGCCAATAGGGGAGTTGGGGCACCGCCCTCTATCACCCACAGAGCAGGGCCGATCAGGGGATTGGGGCGCCACCACTGTCACACTCAGGGCAGGGCCAATGGGGAGGTTATGGCTCTACCCTGTCACACACAGAGCAGGGCCGATCGGGGGTTGGGGTGCCGCACCCTGTCACACACAGAGCCGCAGGGCATTCAGGGGGTTGGGGAGCTCCCCCCTATCAGGCACAGAGCAGGGCTGATCAGGGGGTTTGGGTGCCTTCCCCTGTCACGAACAGAGCAGGGCGAATAGGGAGGTTGTGGCCCTGCCCCTGTCACACACAGAGCCACAGGGCGATCAGGGGGTTTGGGCGCTGCCCTCTGTCACGCTGATCCCGGTGCCGGGAGGCCTTGTGGCTCCGCTGATCCCGGTGCTGGGAGGCATATTACACTTTTACTATATAGGATAGAGGCCTGGTGCACAGGTGGGGGCCGGCAGGTTTGCCCTGAAGGGTGTCCTGGATCAGGGTGGGGGTCCTGCTTGGGTGCCTGGCCAGCCTGGGTGAGGGGATGATGGCTGTTTGCAGCTGGCCACACACCCTTCAGGGTGGGGGTCCCCACTGGGGTGCCTGGCCAGTCTGGGTGAGGGGCTGAGGGCTGTTTTCAGGCTGGCAGGTGGCTGAAGCTCCCAACCTGTCCTTTTTTTCTTTTTTTTTAATTCTTGGCCAGCTTTAGCTCTGAGGCTTGGCTCCAGCTCTGAGTCCTCTGTTGCTGAAAGCAGGTATCTGGTTTGTTTGGGTTCTATAATTGAAACACTGTATCAACTCCAGCTCTGAGATCCCGGCTGGCTGAAAGCAGGTTTCTGGGGTTTTGTTTAGCTTCTATATTTGTAACTATGTTTCAAACTGCAAGCTCAGAGGCCGGCAGCAGCAGGCGGGGAACATTGGCTTCCTCCGTCACTGGAGCAAGCAAGCCTCATGTTCTCTTTAAGCTGCCTGGCTGCCGGCCGCCATCTTGGCTGGCAGTTAATTTGCATATCGCCCTGATTAGCCAATGGGAAGGGTAGCAGAGGTATGGCTAATTACCATGTTTCTTTTTTATTAGATAGGATTATATGAACAATCACATACAAGCCACCAAATGTGAAGATTAAGTGTACACAAACCCACCTGACTTTAGCTGACTGTCTCAAATTCCATCATTCCAGCTGTTAGAAAACAAGCCCACCCAAAACTAGGCTAGAGAAGATGGGGCTTTGCCAAAACAGAGTCACGGACAAAAGCTTCCTATTTCATGTAGTCAAATATTTGCATTCAGAGAGAAGATCAAGTTCAACTCCCAGTATGGTGACTATGATAGACTGCCAGTCAACAACCAATCCACCCTAACTCTCAGGTGCTTCTCTAAACTGCTGAGGATGGACAGGTAAAACTCTCCTGCAGCCAATGTCCCAGATCAGCGGTTCTCAACCTGTGGGTCATGACCCCTTTGGCGGTCGAACGACCCTTTCACAGGGGTCGCCTAAGACCATCCTGCATATCAGATATTTACATTACAATTCATAACAGTAGCAACATTACAGTTATGAAGTAGCAACAAAAATAATTTTTTGGTTGGGTCACAACATGAGGAACTGTATTTAAAGGGCCAGAAGATTGAGAACCACTGTCCTAGATATAATTTAAGATCCACTCACATACAGTTTGGAAGGCGGAAGGTTCTGGTCTTTTGTTGGCAAGCGGTCATGATCACATTGAGTTCTGTAGCAGTGTTCAGTTACTTCTTTTATGTTTTGTGTGTGTGTTTATTTCCAGTGAGCGTATCAACAGGCATAATGTGACTAGTGTGTTGCCAGTGATGGTTCTAGATTTCCCTCCCTCCTGACTAGGCCAGAGGAGCAGCTCCCCGAAGCCAGTGAAGCATGCTGTGTGAGTTAACTGTGGAAGCCCTCCCTGCATAAAACCCATTTTCCAATCTTTCCATTGATGTTATAAGCATTGAATTCCCATTACTAAATCCCCTTTTCCTTAAAATAGCTAAAATATTTCCTTTTTTCTGCAACTCAGTCTTGACTAATGTATAAAAAATAAAAAATAATAAAAAAACAGGGCAAGGTCTAGGGGCTAGAAGAATGAGCCCCTAGAAGAAAGTGCATACACCAAAACCAGTAAAGTACTTCTAAGGTCAGGGAGGAGATGAGGGACTCAAGAAGCTATCTGAGGCCCTGCTGTATTTTTATCTGTTCCTAAAACAAATAACAAGGTAGTAGTGGTCTTTCACAACTTACTACCTTTTCACATTCCAAATGTGCACTGGAGAAATAGAAATCCTGGTTGATTGGAAGGAAAGTGAAGGAAGTCATTAGACATTTTAGAATACACATCTCTGGTAGACATGAAGGTGCAACCTTAGTGGGAAGGCTGCCAAAAATTAGCAACTGTTCTTGTATGGCAAAGATAAGTCACTTACTCTGAAATTCTTCTCCACATGTTCCCTGCTTCCTTCTTTATGTCCAGAGGGAAGAACCAATCCTTTCTAGAGTTCTGCCCTTTGGAATACACCCCCCATTTCAGTTGTTCAGACTAAGTCTCTTCTACTCCAGGCTCTCCCTCACTCCCAATAGGAATCACTAACCCTGATCCTTCTCCATCCAGTCAGTCTCTCAGGTCCACTGCCTTTTCTCTCATCTGATTCCAATGATATCATATTTGCTGGTCTCTTACCTCCAAACTCTCCCTCCCCCAACCTATGCTACATACCCTGCCAGGGTTGTCATCAAAGACTTTAATGACTCCACCTGAGCTCCTGTGCCTGGCATTCTGAATCTTCCCGTCTGGGCACTATCTACCTTGCCAGTCCTACTTCCCTCCCCTAACACCTCCCCCAACCTACATTCACTCTGCAAAGGGTACTCTAGGTGCTGAGATTTTTACAAGGGCAAAGGGGGAGACAGCAAACCAAATTACCACACAGTGTGGCTATGAAAATGGCGAAACCAATGCTTTCAGATCTCAACTCCTCCATGAGACCTTTTTTTTAAAATCCTCACATGAGAATACGTTTTATTCACTTATTTTAGAGAGAAGGGCAGGGAAAGAGAGAGAGAAAAACAATCGATTATTTGTCTCCCATGCTGGGATTCAAACTGCACCTAGTTATGCGCGCTGAACGGAAATTGAACCCATCTTTCAATGTATAGAATGGTGCACCAACCAGCTGAGTCACAATGGCCAGGGCTCCATGAGACCTTTACAATGCCCCTCTGCCAAGTCAAAATTCATCTTCGCTTCCCTACTTTTCCTGTTGCATTTGATTTTCTCTTTCATTATAGAATATAAAGTACATTTTATTCCACATATCTTATCAGAGTAGATCATAGGTTGGTTTGGAGGGCCACATTAATTCTTAATTCACTTTCTGTTTCCCATGAATGCAAACGTAGTAGGTACTGAATAAGTACTGTTGAATTTTGGCTGAGGGAAAAAAGTCCCCCAGGAACAGCTAGTCTTAGACCCTGTCCTGGGGAACTAAGAACAATGTGTCAGCATGATGTGCTGCAGTAT